GTATCCATATGAATGTGCTTTAACCCATCTTCAGAGCCTCCTAGACGGATTCCAGTTTCAATTGGGACAACAGTGAAAGCACTCTGCATCAAATCCAGGATGAAGTACCAATTTCTCAAGCATTAAGTCTGAATGATCCACCAGACAGAATGATACTCACTGTCAGTGGTAAGTAGGTTGAGGTTGGAAGCCTCTAGAAAGCACTAATAAGAGACTCAGCACAGACTTCTGGCATTTCAGAACAAATACATGCCCTGTTGTAGTGGAAACCATTCTACTTTTGAGAAACAGCTTATGATTGGTATACAATAGAGACTGAACAAACCATAAGACATCAAGTGGCCGCACAGACTGAGCTTCTTATTAAGAAAAGGATGTTATATGTTCTGTTGAGACACAGGACAGACACATGGGCACATGCAGAAAAAAAATGTATCCTCAAGTAAAAATGGCATAGATGATGTTGATCTCAGGCAGCTCCAGTAAGTAAAGAGAATTTCATGAGCAGGGGATCTATACTCTTCAACACAAACACGTTACACTACCTCTTCTCCCTCAGTCCATGCCTATGACTTCCTGAGATATTCCTTATTACCCATTGATGCCGACAAAAAGCCTGGTTTACAGATGTTGTCTGCATGATATGTAGTTCCACCTGAAAGTGGAGAACTAAAATTATGTTCTCACAGAAAGGTGATCATGAAGACAGTAGTAAAAGAAAAATTTTCCCAATTCAGTTACTGAATTTAGCAGCCAATAAGTCTGGAGAGAGAGATGGCCACAAAGAAGCATACACATTGATTTATGAATTGTTGCCAGTGGTTTGGCTGGATAGACAAGGATATGGAAGAAACAAGACTGGTGACAAGAAAGTCTTGGAAAAAGTATGGTGTTTGATGGGGGACTGCACACCTCACTTTAGAGAAGGGTAAGAACTTCTTCCCTTGATTCTTGTTAGGTAGAAATATACAATTGTTTTATATTATAAGGAAATTCAAATATGTATATAAGGATACATATGGATGTTGACTATCCAAAACATGGACTGTGGCCATTATAAATTAATTCATCTCAGCTTCAAATTCACCTTCAAAACCTACCATAGAATAATGAACTGGATTCTTTTTCACTTATCTTTTACCCTTACAGGTTAGTATAGGAGGCACTGGAGGGACAAACAAAAGCAAAGAAATCCTCTTGCTGCATCTAGTTGGTGCACAGTGAATCAGCCATATGGGGGTAAAAAACATTTTCTGGCACTTTGCCCATTCTATATGCTCAGAACACAGTCCCTATGTAGATTAATCAATTTTCTGTTACTATAACAAAATATCTGAATAGATACTTTATAAAGAGACTTATCTAGTTCCAAGTTCTGGATGTGCAAGGGCATGGCACCAGCATTGGCTTAGCTCTAGTGAAAACCCCATGGGAGATGGCATCACAGTGGTGGAAGTAGGTGTGAGGAAGATTATGTGGTGAGACAGAAAGCCAGAGAGCAAAAATGGGCCAGTCTTGGGACCTTCAACTAGGTTCCACCTTAAAATCCTACCACACGTGTGTGTTACTAGGGATTGAACTTAGGGCCTTGCACACATAGACAAGCATTCTACCTCTGAATTCCATCCACAGACCTTTATTTATTTATTTATTTTAATTTTGAGATAGGGGCTCACTAAGTTGCCCAGGCTAGCTTCAAATTTGCAATCCTCCTGCTTAGCCTCCCAAGTAACTGGGAATATAGGTATGTGCCACCTACACCTGTCTCACCACCTCTTAACACCTCCATACTTAGGACCAAGGTCCAATGCATGAACACTTGAAAAATACATATCCTATCCAAACAAGAGCACTAGAGGATTTTGAGCTTTGGCCCAGGCATTTCCTTCTCTGGCCCTCCTAATTTGAACATCTAACACTGAAAGGATGTCCATTAAAAGAGGGACATCTCAGTTACATGTGTCAACCAGCTTAACAGATTGTTTTCAATGTCCCCAGGACACATGCACTGAGCATCCCAGAATGAATGCTGCATGTCAGCATAGTAACTTTTGTGCAAACTGCCACATAAGCCTATGCCCCAGATGCCTGTTTACCATAGCCCTCCAGATGTGGACACTAAGGGTGCAAAGCCATTTACTACTAATGTACTTACATCACTTTATTTTAAGAGTTTCTTGGAGTCAACATATAATTTAGTCATGCTACTTCATCTTTCTTTTTGCATGTTAGATCATTTATATTGAATGGTTCAGATTACAAACGTGATTCAACTCTATTATTATGTTTAGTCTCTTTTTTATTTTTCCGTTTTCCTTTTATTACTGTGCTTTTTAGTTATTTAACCACTTATTAGTACTCTAATTTATCTCCTGTATTTTTTACTGTATCTCATTGCTTTCTCTTCTTTTTGGTGGAGCTGGGCATCTGACCAAGGGCTTCTTGAATGCTATGCAAGTACTCGCTGAGTTAAATCCCTAGTCCCCCACTGCATATTTTTTAGGGATTAAAATATACATAAATTATTAGGTTACATGGAATGACATTTTACCATTTAAATGAAATACAGAAACTTGGTATCAACTTGGCTTACCCTCATTATTATGTTGTGTTTGTCTTATGTATTATATCTACATAAATTGAAATATCTGTATACCTGTAAGATGTTTTATTCTTTTCAACGATCATTTATAAAAAATTCAAGTAGAAACTAGTTGTGGTGGTGCATACCTGTAATCCCAGCTACTCAGGAGCCTGAGGCAGGAGGATGGCAAGCTCAAGGTCAGCCTGGTCAATCTAGAAACTGTCTCAAAAACAAAACAAAGGATGAGGGGCTGGGGTATAACTCGGTGTTAGAGTACCCCAAATTCAATCCCCAGTATTGTCCCCCAAAATATCTCAGTTGTACAATACCATATTTATCCAGGTAACTATTTCTACAGCTTTCCCTTCATTCCTGATATTTCAAGTTTCATTTCTTTCTTAGGTGCATTTCTAACAATTCATTTAAAGCAGGTCTTTTGGCAATGACTCTGTCTTACTTCATCTGAGAATTTATTTCACTTTCATTACTAGAGAATACTTTTGCTTGATATAGCATTCTAGGTTGATACTTCAGTTCAGTACTTGAAAAATATTTCCACATTTCCTCTTGGCATTTATGATTTCAGTTGAGAAATAAATGGAATTTTTCTACAAGCATTCATGTGAGTTTTCTCAGTATCTTTTCAAGATTTTTTATTTTTAGCTTTCACTACATTTTTGGGATTAGTTTTATTTATGTTTTGTGTTCACTGAACATCTTGTACCTGTGTTGTTCACCAAATCTGAGAAAATTTTTTCTTCTGATACTAGAGATTGAACCAGGGGTACCCTGTCACTAAGCTATATCCTCAGCACTTAAAAAAAAAAAAAAACTTATTTAAGACAGGGTCTTGCTAGTTTGCTGAGACTGGCCTCAAACTTGCCATCTTCCTACCTCAGCCTCCGAGTCACTGATACTACATGTGTGTGCTATCACACCAGACCTATTTTTCAAATAGTCATGTGCCATGGGAGTGAATTCTGAGAACTGCACTTTTGGGCAATTTCATCATTTCACAAATATCTTAGATTTACACAAATCTAGATGGCATGGCCTACTACAAACTTAGCCCAGATGGTATGTAGTCACATGCGATCTATTGTTGCCTGCATTTGGTTGTTATGACACATAGTACTGTTTTTTTGTTTTAAAATTTTTATTGTAGTTGTAGATGGACAGCATGCCTTTATTTATTTATTTATTTTTATGATTGAACCCAGTGCCTCACACATTCTAGGCAAGTACTCTACCACTGAGCTACACTTTGAATTATTTTCAAAGCTTTCTGCAATGCTATTTGTGTCTGAAAGGCTGGTCTACCTCACATTCTAGTTCTCAAAGTCTGTTATGTTTAACTGCCACCACAGGATTGCCTGGAGATTGTAGGCAAGTGAATGACATTGACTGACATGTAGCAGGTGACACCTGGGAAACCAAAAAAAAAAAAAAAAAAAAAAAAAAAATTCCTGTTAACTTTCAGAACTGCAGATAGTAATCTCTCTAAGAGGTAGCAGTATCTTCTATCAGATTTTCCTAAAGGGATGGGGTATAGAGCTGTATGTTTTGGCTGACATTATGTTGTAATATCTTTCAGTTTACAGCTAGCAGCTATGAGCAGCTCAGAGTGCTTGAAGAATCTACACTTGTTCAAGCCTGATAGGAACGCCTGCAGGATGGGATGCTCTGCTCTAGCAAGCCGTTAGTGAAAACACATCCTTAGCACTTGTGGTTAGTGATGCCAAGCTGCCAGGCCAGGAAACTGATAGCCAGGAGCTTCGACATGGAACTTCTAACTTAGAAACCCCCTCCCCTAGGGACAAAGACCCTTCCTGATGATAGCAATATTTAGAACATCCTCATAGTGTGGTTACATTAGGCATAAGATGATTGGCTTATGGATACTATCCTTGATGGGCACGCCCCACTCAAACCCTGTAACATTATACTAGGGTCACAGGCTAAGCTGACAGCAAGCTCGGGCACACCAATCAAACCCCAAATATCAAATTAAGAAAAGCAAATGTTTTGTGTGCAATTTGTGCTTGAGGAGCACCAGCGCACAGGCATTGCTACAAAGAAGGTTCTGGTGAATCTGAACTCATCTCCAGTGCAGAGGAGGAAGTCCTCTCCAGTGGCAAGGTGTTTGAGTGAGGTGATGTCTTCACCAGCAGTGAGTTTCTCAGGCAGGGCAATGTCTGGGCTGTGAACACTATACTGTCATTTGTTAATGATACTGTCACTTGGAGTCCAAACTGAAGGACGAGGCCAACCTGCACTAATGACTTCACCCGTCACCCACATGTGCTCATCATCAGGCAACTATCAACGAGTTCCAGAGGGACCTTCAGGTCTCATTTCAGTCAGTAAGATGGCGTCTAAGGCAAATTCATGAGCCATAACCACCCACACAAGGCAGTCCAGATTGATGTGATCACCTTTATTGTCATTGCCAATAGGTAATGGCAATAACAATTGTGCCTAACAGTAACACTCACACCCACAAGAGAACCATTCCATTACCACTCCTCACAAGAAACACATGGAACATGAAAGTGCACAGGTCTCTTCTGTTCAGGATTATTGTTTAGTGTGATTTGGAATACCTCTACACTGGCTGGATTAAAAGCCAAAGAAAGGGCTGCAGCCCTGATGGCAGCACATGACAGAATCCAAAGTTGCTCAAGCATATATAAATGTTGGGTCACTCAGACTGAAATCTGGTTGAGTTGGTCTGTGAAAGGCCATATTCAAAGTCAGTGATGATTTCCAGCATAGCAGAACATGATACCAGCCATGTCCAGAGTTCTTGCTATTTTTCATCTTACATGAAAGGGCAAATCCAGAAGGTCTAGTTGTCAGTCCAAGCTGTTGTTTGACTCAGGAATATGATTTATTTTCCAATCATGGAGTGAATCTATAAAGAAAAAGAAAATATAGGTCTCTCCCTCCCTCCCTCTCTGAGTTAAAGGAATTCCTATTCTCAGGTCCAAGGATCTGGCTCTCCCTCCACAGCCATGAAACTGAGGTCTGTCACACTACCAGCTATTCACTCAACCTTTTTTCCACATGCCCCTTTTTAATATGAATAAAAAAATTAGGTAAGAGAAGAGCAAGAGCATTTGAACAACATTGAGATCTATATTATAGCCTAAATTTGGCTAGTATGAGTTACTATTAGTGAACCATGTTTAAAAGCATGACGAGAGAATCTTCAATGCTAAAATAGGATTTGTGCTGGGGGTGCAACTCAGTGGTAGAGTATATACTTGGCATGTGTGAGGCCCTGAGTTCAATCCCAGGAACAACAAATAAACAAATAGTATAGGATACTTTTGTTTCCAAAAGGCTCATTTTTGGCTAGATGCCACCTGAAAGGTCTAGCACCTTGACTGGAATGGTTTTGCTATACAAGAAACAGATATATCCCACCAGGAATGATCAAGGTGGACTCATAAATATTCAAAATAAATGTAAAGAATCATTCAGAAGGTGGTATGTCTGTCAACATACAAGATTTCAGGGGTGGGGATGCAATTTCCATATCTAAACATTTACTTTTTCTTGTGTGTAAATCGCTGTTTTTAAAGGCTGAAGGATAATATGTAAAAAATTGACTTTGCATCCTTCCTTGCCTTTACAATAAAGTTTTTCTCCACTGTGAGGTCAAATGAACATCAAAGTATTTAACAATTACAACTTTTCCACATATCATACATCAACAGTGTTTTCTCTCCAGTGGAAGAGCCTATATTTTTAATAGGTCCCTGAGAATTAGGATTTTCATGTTTGTTACATTATATGGCTCCAGGATGAGTTCTCACAATACTGCATCATGATCAGATTCCAATGATTCTAACACAATTCTTAAATTCATGGGGCATCTTGAGAATAGAGGTCTTTCAATCCTTTGAAATAAACTGGCATAATTGAGGGCTGTTCCACATTCTTCACATTAATAAGGTTTTTCATCAGTAAAAATTCCAGTGTGATGATTAAGACGTGAAGAACTCCTAAAGGATTTTCGGCATTCCTTCCATTCAAAGGGTTTCTGTTCAGTTTGAGTTATTAAATGTTCTGTTAGCAAATAAAGCCTATTATAGGTGTTCTCACATTCCTGATATTTACAGGGCTTCTCCCTAGTGTGAATTCTTACATGGTGATATAGGTTTGAGGATGTAGTGAAGGATTTCCCACATTCCTTACATTCATAGGGTTTCTCCCCTGTGTGAGTTCTTACGTGTTCAGCTAGGCTTGAAGAAACGGTAAAGGCTTTCCCACAATACTTACATTTATATGGTTTTATTCCAGTATGAATTCGAATGTGCTTATTAAGACATGAGGAATTTCCAAAAAATTTTCCACATACCTTACACTGAAAGGGCTTTTCCCCTGTGTGAGTTTTTACATGTTCAGTCAGCAGATAACACCTTTTGTAGGCTTTCCCACATTCCTTACATTCATAAGGTTTCTCTCCAGTGTGGGTTCTTATGTGCACAATGAGACATGAGGAAGTTGTGAAGGCTTTCCCACATTCCTTACATTCATAGGGCCTCTCTCCAGTGTGAGTTCTTACATGTTCAGCTAGACTTGAGGAAACAGTGAAAGCTTTCCCACAGTATTTACATTTATAAGGTTTTACTCCAGTATGAATTCGAATGTGTTTATTACGGCAGGCAGAACTTCTAAAGGATTTTCCACATAACTTACATTCAAAGGGCTTCTCCACCGTGTGAGTTTTTAAATGTTCAGTTAGCAAGTAACACCTTTTGTAGGCTTTCCCACATTCTCTACATTGATAAGGTCTCTCTCCAGTGTGAGTTCTTACATGTTTCCGTAAGTATGAGGAAGCATGGAAGGCTTTCCCGCATTTTTCACATTCATAGGGCTTCTCTCCAGTGTGAGTTCTTACATGTTTACGCAGGTAGGAAGAAGCATGGAAGGCTTTACCGCATTCCTCACATTGATAGGGTTTCTCTCCAGTATGAATTCTTAAATGTTCAGTTAGGTTTGAAGCGGCAGTAAAGGCTTTCCCACATGCCTTACATACATAGGGCTTCTCTCCGGTGTGTGTTTGTACGTGTGTGGTAAGGCCTGAGCGTTTAGTGAAGGCTTTTCCACATTCTTTACATTTATAGGGTTTCTCTCCAGTATGAATTCTGAAATGTTCAGTTAGGCTTGAAGAAGTAGTGAAGGACTTCCTACATTCTTTACATTCATAGAGTTTCTCCCCTGTGTGGGTTCGCATGTGACTGTTAAGATTTGAAGAATAACCAAATACTTTTCCACAAACCTTACATTCATAGGGTTTTTCCCCAGTGTGGGTTCGCATGTGACTATTTAGGTTTGAAGAATATCCAAATACTTTCCCACAAACTTTACACTCATAGGCTTTTATGGTATACATTTGAATAGGCACAGTTCCACTTGTGGGAAATGTAAAATCTCCTGCATACTGCTTCAATTCAAAGAGTTTTTCTCCATTGTGATTTCTCAAATAAGCCTGAAAGTATGGCTGATTGAGGAAGGCATAGTCATTGCATTCAAAGGATTTGTCTTGTGTGATGGTTTTCTGGTAAACATCATTTGGAGTCAGGCTAAAAGCTCTTTCACACTGACTCAATGCAGAGAGTGTCTGTTCAGTAGAGGTTTTGTGAGGAGTAGGAAAATACCTTCCATACTGATTAGAGTCACAAGGGTTCCTTGAATTTTGAATTTTCATGTGTGTCTTGAAATATGAGTGTTCACTGAAGATTTCTCCATATTGCAGATAGTTACAGAGTTCCCCTGCACTTTGGTTTCCCACCTGCTGATAAGGGATGAAATATGGTTAAAGATTTTTTTCAAATGAAATGGATTTTACCTATCTGAAAGCAAAAATAAAACATAATTGATTCTTACTGTTTTTATTACATGTATAGGAATTCCTACTCTGTGAACTTCTCTCAAATTGAATGAAGGAATACTGCAAGGATTCTGAACCATCTATTTTAGTCTTAGGATAATTCCTGTACATTTTCATAAAATTCTTTTAAGAATCTCAGTACCCAACTTTATATGTGGGAAAGTGTACTTCTAAGAACTCTGAAGCTCCAGATTTTGAGCTTGGATTAGGGTATCCTAAATTCATCACATTCAGGATCTCAGGATCCCTTTAGAGACATTTCCCCTGCTAGGATAAATGTTATTTCTCTCAAGCATCTCTTGGGCCAGGAATGCAGCTCAGTGGTAGAATGCTTGCCTAGCTCAAGGTCTTGGTTTGATTCCCAGCACCACGGAAACAAAAAAAACAAGTCTCATTGATACAGATTTTCTATAAGAGAATTCCCCATCTTTTTCAAGTATGATAAATGAGGATTCACCAATACTGCAACCTTCTCCCTATTGACAAATGGTTGAATGATGAATAAAGAATGTATTTAGAGGGTTATTATAAATTTCACCATTTTCATTCTTTCATATAATTATTGCCATGTCAATTCTATAGTACTCAATGAAGGAACAATAGGACTAAAATTCTGTGATATCTGTTCTAATGTTAAAAAGATTAAGATAATTGCTTTAAAAACTCCTATGTCCAGAATTCCAAGATATGTGGGACTGTGTACTTGTGGGATCCCTGAAGGAACTGGCTTCACAATAGTTTGGGATACTATTGATATTATACTCAAAATTGATATTATATTCAAAGTATCTCTCCTGACATATTGCTTCCCTCCCACTTGGATGAATGTTACTATCTATAACAGAATTCACATCTTCTCTGAGTGTGGAAAACAACAACATCTTTTGTTAATCTTACCATTTGTATCCCACTGGAAATTCGTTCCCTCAAAATATTCTGCTGAAATGCTGCCTCTTCAGTGCTAACGTGCATTTTCCTTTCTAAATATGATCAGAAGACAAATTTAAGATTTGGAGAAAGAAATGGTAGATTGTAGAAATTTAAAATAATAGGGCTTATATGTATTTGTTTTAACATTCTTTCTTTTCTTTCTTCTTCTTCTTTTTTTTTTGGGGGGGGGGGGTACCAGGGATTGGAGCCACACCCATAGCCCTTTTTATATTTTATTTAGAGACAGGGTTTTGCTAAGTTGCTGAGGCTGGCTTTGAACTTGTGATCCTCCTGCCTCAGCCTTGTGTGCCACATGCCCAGCCACTGTATTTGTTTTCAAATTAAACATGGTATAAAAAAAAGTGGGCTGGTGTTGGAAACCAGTACAGCACTTGTCTTGCATTCCTGGGTTCAATCCCTAGAGCCAAAAGAACAAACCAACCAACCAAACCAAACAAACCAAACAACAACAACAACAAAAAAGATAAAGGAAAAAAATATGGGGGGAAAAAAGCAATGTTTGAGCATTTTAACTAGATCAAATTTGGCAACAGTAAAGTTGTGGATCATAGTCTTAAATAGTTTATTATAAACTGATTCTTTAAAAATTAGAACTGATGGTAAACAAGAATAATATTATCAGGCATGAAAAGAAGAAAAGATCTAGACAAATAACAAATGAAAAAGTGATTTTAAAAAAAAGACAACAGTTCATTTTGGAGATCACAGGAAAGTCTGAGTAGACAGAGTATGAGAAGCTGAGATTTTCTACCTTCTCAGAGTAATGTCCTGAACCTTCTTAAATCAAGTACACCTTAAAAAGTTTCATGATCCTTCCAAACTCAATAAACTTCTCCTTGATCACAGTTGCCCTCCAGACTCACTCACCTTGGAGATCTCCTGTCTGCATATCCTCTTCTTGTTCTAACCATGAGATGAGACTGGGTTTGGTGGGTTCACATCCTGTACATGGGGAAAGATATTCATGAAATAGGTTCATGCAACAGATGATAAAACAGTATAGTTCTAATAATACTGTTTCTAATGAAAGCAGAAGAATTATTTCAAAAGAGTGAAGTATGCAAGTATCATCTCTTTCTGTACCCAAAAATGATTAGTTATCTTGGAATTCTGAAGACCCAAATTAATGCTAACAAACAAAACACTAACACTGAATCAAACAGAAAGTAAAGTGAAACAAAAAGATCCTTGTTTTTCTGGGGAAAAACTATACCAGAAATCACAAATTTTAATGCATTAGATACAAATGGGTGGCTTGCTAACATGCACTGACACGGATCTATCTGGAATTTCTGATTCAGTATGTCAAAGGAAGAAACTGATAATTTACATTTCTAACAGGATCACAGTGATTTGTTCATCTTGGACCACATTTTGAGAACCACCATGTTAGATCATGGTTTTGCTTCCTGCAGTTTTAGTTACCTACCATCAACTAAGGTCCATAAATATTAAGTAGTAAATTCCAAAAATAAACAATTTGGAAGTTTTAAATCACACAATGTTGTCGCGACCCCTCGCTGGCAAGGGAAAACACGACACAGGATTCTTCTTTCAGCAGTTTATTCAGGCCTTGATTCATGTATCATCTTCTAGTGACCCCCCCGCTGAGCGCCCAAGCACAGCCTAATAAAGCCTCCCGCATACCAATCCCAAGCTGCCACGTGGACCTTTAGGGTGGGAAGGGATTGCGTGCCAATTCTCCATATTAGGTGTTGTTTATCACAGGCCACAGTGGAAGCCGGCACCATCTTCTAATGGCGGCCACGGTCTAATTAGAACGGCTCACCACACAATGTTCTGAGTAGCTTATGAAAGCTCACAATATTCTATTCTGTCCTATCCATGGGATATGAATTATCCCTTTATCCATCACAGCCATACTTCGTATGCTACCTGCCCATTAGTCTTTAACAAGCCATCTCACTTATCAAGTTGACTGTCACAGTGTAGCAGTGCTTTTGTGTAAATAACCCTTGTCTTACCTAATAATAACGGACCCAAAGCAGACTGTAATTATGATGACAATTTGAACATGCCAAAGAGAAGCCACAGTGCTCCATTTAATCTAAAAGTTGAAAGATCTTGGCTTAATAAGGAAAAGAAAAAATATCATATGCTAAGGTTTCTAATATCTACATAAGAAGGAATCTTCAACCTGTGAAACTGTGAAGAAGGAAAAAGAAATACATGCTATTTTCACTGTCACATCTTAAAATATTATTTTGAATTTGTATGAGTTTGGTTTCAGAACTCCACTGGGGATCTTGAGACATATCCCCCATGGATAAAGGGGGACCACTGAATTAGGGTAAAGACTATGTTCCTATTGTTTCCCAATGTATTTGGTGTTGAGATCACTGATTGTGCAGTACTTTAAGGACAGAACATCCATTTCTTCCCTAAGAGCTACAAGGAATGATGGCAGTCTTACCCAACGAGACCAGGTTCTGGTAGTTCTCCAGCATCACATCTCTGTATAGGTCTCTGTGAGTCTGATCCAATAAAATCCACTCTTCTTGAGTGAAGTTCACAGCCACATCCTCAAAGGTCACCAAGTCCTAAATTGTTAAACACATGGCAGCCTGAGTAATAAGTTATAATAGTAATATCTCTATCAATGTTGACTAAAGAACGAGGAAGTGAGGCCAATGCCTATGCAAGGATCTGATGGTTTTCACTGTCTATTGCAAAGTTCAATGGTCCCAGGAACTCTTTCTCTATCCACATGCACTTACTGCCCATCTCCTGAATCATATGGTTTTTATGGCTCTACTGAAAAATGAATTTATCGCACCACACTTAGACTAGAAGCTCTTTTCTTATTTCCTTCTATTTTTTTTTATATTTATTTTTTAGTTTTTCGGCGGACACAACATCTTTGTTTGTATGTGGTGCTGAGGATCGAACCCGGGCCGCACGCATGCCAGGTGAGCGCGCTACCGCTTGAGCCACATCCCCAGCCCCTTATTTCCTTCTATTAAAGTATACTCCTATCATATGCTTGATAAACAGGACAAATGAATAGTCTTTTATGGAAAAGGACACTTTTTTCTTTCTTAACATCTGGCAGAGTACTTGGCAAAAGAAGAATCACACCATACCCTTGTCACCATTAGTGTCATCATTGCTTAGTAATTACTGAAATATTGGGATGATTTTCAGATAACACCTCATTGATAAGAAGACACCATTCCTGTAAATTCATCTGGGGACTTATTTGATTGAGGCTCTACTGACTTTAAATAGTTGTGGAGATAAGTCTGTCTAGAAGAAAATGTGCCTGGTGGAGGCAAGCATGTCATTCTGTTCGACAGTTTCTGCATACCTGGTAATAGTTTATCAGGCAGTCTGCCATCTTTTCTGCTTTTATCTTTTCTTCAAGTAGGCTGAATGGATCCCTGAAAAGAACTGCTCCTGGAAAAGAAAGAAGGCATGAGAATCGGTACTACCCTAATTCCTACACTTACATGCCTAGAAGCCATTCCATCCTACCATGAAACTGCCATGTAATCCTGCACATTTGAAAAGCGCTCTCTCTCTCTCTCTCTCATATGTGTACTACTATCATAGAATGCTAGAGCAGTCCTGTCTCACCTAGAGCTAGAAAAAGGGATGGTGAGTGGTACTGCCCATTACAAAAACTACGATAGTTCATTTTACAGGTAAGCAAACTTAAATTCAGAGAAATTGTCTTCATTTATCCATGATGAAAATTCTCAAGGATATCATGCAGCACATACACCAGGGGGCTCATATGCACAACAGTATTATCTAGCCTACTTTGGCATCTCCAAAAAAACAAAAAATAAAAAGCTGGGTGGTGTGGCTGCTCAGGCCTGGGCCAATGGGCTCTGTTACACAAGGTGGATATAAAGCAGAATCTCTATAAAAGAACATTAACAGGACTGGTCAGGGGCCAATCAATAACCATCATTCTGTGAGGATGAAGGCAAAGTTTTCTGGAACGCTGTTTTCCTAGATGCCAAGACCACTACAGGCAGCTTATGAATCTTGGAGGATAAGGGAAATCTCCATTCTTCCTTATAGAGCAGTACTTCATCATTTGTCATCAAACATTGGCTTACTCGCCACAGATGATATAAAGAAAGCCACTAAATACAGTGTAACCTGTTAACATAAGTATTAATAACACCCACTATCATTTACTGAGGACCAGAAAGTATGCATTTACACTAGAGGTCAGTATACACACACACACACACACACACACACGTGTGTGTGTGTGTGTGTGTGTGTGTGTGTGTGGAGAGAGAGAGAGGCGCGTGAGGGCACAGGGGAGACAGACTGACTTATGTATCTTTCCAACCATTCACCGTAGACATCAAATCCCTATTTAATGCTGGAAAAAAACTAGATTCAAACAATAAAAGGATTTGTTCCATATCACCCATTTAGGAAGTGGTGAACCAGGGCCCAACTGTAGCTAAAGTGGTCCTGATCACCTGAGGTTGCTGTCACATTCCAGGACGATTAGAAGTTGGTCTAGACCTGCAATGTCTAGAGCACCACAATGTACTGTCTCATCACATGTGTTAACGTTCATTTTATATGAAGCTAGTATGATGGAAAAGAATTAAAATTTATTTCTTTATTTTTTTCCTTGCAGTGCTGGAGATGGAACTCAGGGCCTCACACATGCTAGGCAAGCACTCTAATACCACTGAGCTAATCCTCAGCCCTTGAATTGTATATTTATTTATTTTTTGTTTGTTTTTGTACTGGGGATTGAACCCAGGGGTGTTTAACTCCTGAGCCACAACCTCAGCCCTTTTTATTTTTTGAGACAGGGTCTAAGTTGCTTAGGGTCTTCCTACGTGGTTAAGGTTGGCCTCAAACTTGCAAACCTCTTGCCTCAGTGCGACCTTTTTTTTTTTTTTTTTTTAAGGAATAAGATTTATTTAAGTGCGAAGATAGAAACAACTCCTGCAGGGGCAGGAGGAGGACCCCAAGAGGGGTTGCCCTGGGTACGACTTTAACAGCTAAATTAGCTAGGCGACTAAAACTTGGATTCAACGATGACCTACAGTTAGTGAGGCTGACATGCCAGAACTTCCCTGGCATAATGTGACAGAAGGGATCCTAGAAACAGGAAAGTTCTACTGAATTTGCCAGCTGATTTCCACACCCCTCCCACCCTTACCCCAATCTATGTTGATGATCCAGAAGACAATACTTTCTTTATGGAGATAACAAAAAAATTATGCCAGATATTCATGTACTGATACCATCACTGAAATGCACACAGAGTTCCTCTATTCCAATGGCAAAAGTCAAAACCAGAGCAGCAGAAATCAAGTGTTGGCACTTAGACATCAACATCACAAGGCCACATCAACTCTCTGTTGGTTACACTTCAGGTGGTACCACCATCCATGGGCTCACAAAATACTTTAGCCACAGTGACAGCACTCACATGGCACTGGCTAGGGAAACCATTCCAGTGCAATTTAGTGCAACAATGGGAGTAGTCTCTGCAATCAACTAGTCTTAACACATTCCCCATTATTGAGAAGTAGCTGATCTAAATGAGGGGGAATGCCTTCCCGAAAACTCAGCTGCAGGGCCTGCTGTGAGACAACTTTAAGAAAGGGTGGCATTCTGTCTCATATGACACAGTGCTTTGAATTAGAGTCTTACATGGTACTGTCTCCCCCACAACCAGATTACATGGGCCCAAGATTGATGAATAAGGGTAGAAATGGCTCTATTGACAGACATTTTGCTTCCAATCCCAATAACATAGAACACTTTGGAGATTTCTGCCCCTATTTGGGACTGCTTTCCCCAAGAGGCACAATTATATGACCCAGCGATCTCCACCTTCTGGTAGACACCCTCCTGGATAATACCCTTATGTTATCTAACCCTCTAACCTGTTTCTAACAGAAATATGGTAAACGTGCAGGGATTATGTAAATGTAATTAAAGTCCCCAGTGAGTTAGTTTTGTTTATCAATGGGAAAAATATCCTAGTGGACTTGATCTAATCAGGGAGAAGTCTTATTGAGTGTCTAGGCTTTCTGAGGTCCAGAAATGAAGAGCAGACTGTGTACATGTATAAGAAACACCAACCAACCCAAATTCAATTTCTTCTCCAAATACTCTCACAACATAGATCACTTCTGAAACCAGATGTGTTGGAATATTCCTCACACACAGCAAATAATTCTTTCTGCAACAATCCTCCAATTCAATTCAGTTCTGACATTGTCTACCTGGAGATAGTATTAGATCTCACAGGTTGAGGGCTCAGTCCCTAAAACTGCCTTTACTTATCTATTTACTAAATTTATTTTGGTACTGGGGATTGAACTCAGAGCGTTCTGCACGCTAGGCAAGCACTCAACCATTGAACAACACCCTCTGCCCACCCCCCACCCCAACACCTTTAATTACTGGTGCTTCTTACTAGCTATAATCAGGGTTCCCATAAACCCCTCCTCAAGTTCAATTAATTTGCTTGAGCCTCTCACAGAATTCAGGGAAACACATTCACCAGTTTATTATAAAGGGCGAAGTATATTTTCCCCACATTTTTCTTTGGAAAAAATGTGAAGCTACTAACAGGTCATTTGAACATAACATATAATATGCACACACTATAGTAGTGTTTGTGTCAGCTTTTCGCCACTATGATCAAAAGATCCAATAAGAAATATGTGGAGGAGTAAAAGTTTATTTGGTGCTCATGGTTTCAGAGGTCTCAGTCCATAGGTGGCTGACTCTGCTGCTTTGGCACAAAGTGAGGCAGAGCACCATAGCAGAAGGGTGTGGAAGAGGAAAGCAGCTCAAGTCATGGCAATCAGGAAGCAGAGAGAGCTCTGCTCACCAGGGACAAAATACAGACCCAAAAGACATGCTACCAATTACCTATTATCGCTTCCAGCCTACCCTACCTGCCTACTTATCACCACCATTCACTGACTTGATGTAAGGCTCTCACAGCCCAGTCATTTCACTTGTGAATTTTCTTGTATTGTCTCAGACATGGGCTTTTGGGGGAACACCTCATATCTAAATCATAACAAATAGGTCCACTAATTTTTAGCATTTTTTTCATGTTTTCTTTTTCCCCCACACACATTTTATTGTATTTGAAAGCAAGCCTGTTGAAAATAAACTGTAAATATGATGATATTGGAACATTAAATACTTGGTAATGCATCTCCTAAAAAAAGGGATTAAATTCACAATAGTTTTTTTTAATTCAAGAAAATGAATAGTGGGCTGGGTGAATATCTCATTGGTAAAATGCATGCACCAGGCCCTGGGTTCAATCCTCATCACACACAAATCCATAAAAAGAAAATTAATATACATAGTATTGTCTAATATCTACTCATTCAAATGTTAATTTAGTCACATTGTTCGGTTTTGGATATTGTTGAATCTAAAATCCAAGGTTTCTTATTACATTTGTTTATGTATTTTTAGTCCAACTATCTTGTCAAAGATAAACTATTCCTAGTGCAGTAAAGCCTCCTTCCTTACTGAAGGCACGGTTCTTAAATTCTGTGGGGATGGATGTACAGCCTTAGGAAGTTCGGATGAAGGGAATGCCTGTAAATTCGTGGTTTTGTTTATAAAAAGGCTTGTGTTCTACAAACGTTCGTGTTCACATACAAAACTAGGCACACCTTCGGCACCTAAGAAAGTACCTTCACCTTTCTAACAAAGTAGAGTATGAAAAGGTAACTATCTGATGCGCAAAGGCGGCACACTCTCATTTGAAACATTGAATTGCCTAAGAGGGGGGAAAAAGGTCCTCAGGAAACTTCGCCACCTCGCGCCCGGGGCATGGCGTGGAACCCACGCTCTGGACCTGAGCAAGCGCTCCGCCACCCAGCTACAGCTTCAGCCCCGAACCAGTTTTCTCGCAGGGCTCACCCCGACTCGCAGCAGTCGCCAGGTCCAAGAGGAGGGAGGACACCGCGACGTCAACACGACTCTAACTGCGGAAAGTCCTTTTCTTTCGAAAAATAAAATTTACAAAGGGAGCTACTGGAGAGGACGGCAGCAGATGAGATAACCGGGACGCAGGCTCACGTCACTTCCCGGGCCCACAGCACGACCGCCCTCTCGGCCCCGCTGGACGCTGGCTGAGGACCAGCCTTTGCGCCGAGGTCCCTTCGCTGCCTAGGCCAACTCGGTCATGCAACAACTCCTTCCACCTTCCTCCGTGGAACTGACCCCGAACTGGACGTTCCCAAAACTGGAGAAGCCGGAAGGATCCGGGTCGCGCGGACATTGCGTCATGAAAAGGGAGCGGGGTCGCTGACGTCACCTCCGCCCGGCCTCGGGCGGGGCACGCGGGCGGGGCTCGCAGCCACGAGCCTCAGACCAATTGAACCTGATAAGGCCGGGATTCTGGTTTAGTCCAGCGTGCACGGGGAAGGGCCCCCGACGTCGGCTCGCCGAGGGACGCGAGGGCAGAAGCAAGGCGGGGTCACAGGCTGTTATGACGCTGCCCTGGGCCGGTACAGCGGGACGAGCCCCCGCGAGGGTGGGGACGGCGGAATAGGCCGGAACCCCGCCCCCCACGTCCCTAGAGCCCTTCGAATGATATCACATTGGCAAATCTGTCAATCAATGGTCGGTGCCCTCCATACACTGGGTCTTTTAACTATTTCTTATCTGGATACCCTGCTAAACCCTGTCTATTGCTTTACTTTTCAAAGTTATATATATTTTTAGAAACCTTGAATTGTTTCTTCTTCAAATATATTTTTATTATTCAGGTCTTAGCAGATGATCCGGGGACTCCCATTTGGATAGATCAGGCAGTCTTCATTTATTCAGCAAAAATTCTAGAATTTCTCCTGCAATGCCACTTGGCTGTGGTTTTCAGTGGGTAGCATTTGTAGAGTTAACAAAGATATTTTTCCTTTTTCTTTCTTTCTTTCTTTTTTTTTTTTTTGGTGTTGGAAATGGAACCCAGGACTTGTGCATTTTAAGCACGAATTCCACCAATGAGTTACATCCCCAGCCACAATAAAGATTTATATATATATTTGGGGCTGGGGTTGTGGCTCAGCGGTAGAACGCTAACCTAGCATGTGCACGGCGCTGGGTTCGATCCTCAGCATCACATAAAAATAAATAAATAAAATAAAGACATTGTGTCCAACTACAACTAAAAAAATTAAAATAAAGTCCAGAAAATATATATATTTATCTTAAATCATAGTTATACATAAATGTGGGGTTCATTTTGGCATATTCATAAATGCACATAATTTGCTCCATTTCAGTCCCCAGTTCTATACCCTCCCCTAAGCCCCTTCCTCTTCTCTGTTGGTCTTCCCTCTATGGTTTTTTAATTAGTACGGTGGAGTTATATATACTTAAAATTGGAACTCATTGTGATACATTCATACATGCCCATAACATACTTTATTCAATGTCATGCCACTCTTTTTCCCATTTCCATCCCTCCCCCCTTCGTCTGGATCACCTTTCTCTCCATTGTTCTCCCTTCTATTTTCATGAGAGTCCCACGAACCCCCTTTTAAATTGCTTATTTCTCTCTAGTTTCTGCATGGGAACATTTGATCCTTGACTTTTTTTTTTTTTTTTTTAAGAGAGAGGCAGAGAGAGAGAGAGAGAGAATTCAACTTTTTTTTTTTTTTTTAATTTTTTAGTTTTTGGCGGACACAACATCCTTGTCTGTATGTGGTGCTGAGGATCGAACCAGGCCGCACGCATGCCAGGCGAGCGCTGCCACAGCTTGAGCCGCATCCCCAGCCCTCGATCCTTGACTTTCTAAATCTGGCTTATTTCACTCAGCATAATATTCTCCAGTCTCATCTATTTACCAGCAAATGACATAATTTCATCATCTTTATGGCTGAGTCAAACTCCATTGTGTATATATACCACATTTTTGTTTACCAATTGTCTATTGAGGGACACCTAGGCTGATTTCATAACTTGGCTATTGTGAATTGCACTGCTATAAACATTGACATGCATGTATCACTGTGGTGTGATGATTTTAGGGTAGTTTTTTTTTCTTTTGTTTTTGGATACATACCGAAAATTGGGATGGCTGGGTCAAATGGTGGTTCCATTTATGGTCTCTTTAAGAATCTATATACTGGGGCTAGGGTTGTGGCTCAGCGGCAGAGCACTTGCCTAGCATGTGCAAGGCACTGGGTTTGATTCTGAGCACCATATAAAAATAAATAATTAAAATTAACATTAAAAAATAAGTTACAGGGGCTGGGGATGTGGCTCAAGCGGTAGCGCACTCGCCTGGCATGCATGCGGCCCGGGTTCAATCCTCAGCACCACATACAAACAAAGATGTTGTGTCCGCTGAAAACTAAAAAATAAATGTCAAAATATTCTCTCTCTCTCTCTCTCTCTCTCTCTCTCTCTTAAAAAAAGAAGCTGCTAAAAAAATAACTTACAAATCAACAAAAAAAACCATAATAAAAATTTTTTTAAAAAGAATCTATATACTGCTCTGTAAAGTGATTGCACTAATTTGCAGTCCCATCAAGAATGCATGAGTATACCTTTTCCCCCACATCCTAACCAGCATTTATTGTTATTTGTGTTCTTGATGGTTGCCATGCTAACTGGAATAAGATGAAATCCCAGTGTAGTTTTGATTTACATTTCCCTGATTACTGCAGATGTTGAATATTTTTTCATATATGTATTGTTTTCATATATTTATAACTTTCTTCATTTGAGAGATGTTTAGTTCATTTGTCCATTTATGGATTTGGTTATTTGGGGAAGTGGTGTTAAATTCTTTTCTGTATCTGGATATTAATCTCCAGTTGGAAGATTAACTAGCAAAGATCTTCTCCCATCTGTTGGCTCTCTCTTCATGCTCTTGTTTCCTTTGCTGTGCAGAAGCTTTGTAATTTGATACTGTTCCACTTCTTGGTTTTATTTGATTTACTTGATTTATTTGATGTATTTGATTCTTGGTTTTATTTCCCGAGCTTTAGGAGTCTTATTAAGGAAGTCCGTGCCTGAGCCAATATGTTGGAGTGTTGACCCTATGTTTTCTTCTAGCAGTTGTAGTGTTTCTGGTCTAATTCCTAGGGTTTTTGATCCACTGTTAGTTGATTTTTGTGCAGATGAGAGATAGGGATATAATTTCATTTTTCTACTTATGGAAATCCAGTTTTCTCAGCAACATTTGTTAAAAATGCTATCTTTTCTCCAATATATGGTTTTTGTACTTTTGACAAGAATCAAATGACTGTACCTATGTGAAACTGTCTTTTTGTCTTCCATTTCATTGGTCTTCTTGAATTTTTATGCCAATTACATGTTGTTTTTGTTACTATAGCTCTGTAGCACAATTTGAGATCAGGTATTTTGATGCCACCAATGTCATTTATATTGTTCAGTATGCTTTGGCTATTCTTAGTTTATAATAAAGATATTTTTACACATTGATTTATTAACACATTTTATCAAGATTTCTTAGGCTGGGAATGTGGCTCAGTGGTAAAGGACTTATCTGGCATTCCTGGGTTTGATCCCCAGCACCAATAAATTTTGAAAAAGAAATGTGTATCAAGAATTCTTCAAGAATTGATGATTATTTTGCTATGCTAATATGCAACATTTGGGGAGGTTTTGCCAGGAATTGAACCCAGGGGTGTATAACCCCTGAGCCACATCCCCACCCCTTTATATTTATTTATTTTTGAGACAGGGTCTTGCTAAATTGCTTAGGGCCTCGCTAAGTTGCTGAGGCTAGTTTTGAATTTATTTTTTTTAGCTTTAGATGGATAAAACACCTTTATTTTTTAATTTTAATTTATTTTTATGTGGTGCTGAGGACTGAACCCAGTGTCTCACACATGCTAGGCAAGTGCTCTACCACTGAGCCACAACCCCAGCCCTAGTTTTGAATTTATGATGCTCCTACCTCAGCCTACCAATCTGCTGGGATTACAGGCATGCACCAACACATTCAGTGCTAATTTGTTTTTTATAATTTTTTATTTGTTTTAATTAGTTACACATGACAGTAGGATGCATTTATGTACTTTTATATATCATACATAATTGGGATATAATTTCTCATTTTTCTGAGTGTACAAGCTGCAGAATCATATTGGTCATGCAGTCACAAATATATAGTAATAATGTATGCTTCATTATACTATCTTTCCTTCCCCATATCCCATCCCCTCCCCTCCCATCACTTCCCTTTACCTAATCTAAGGTAGTGCTATTCTTCCCTGTCGCGACCCCCTCGCCAGCAAAGGAAGACACGACACAGGATTCTTCTTTCAGCGGTTTATTCAGGCCTTAATTCTTAGTCTTCTCTCAAGCGCGCTCTCTCCCGCGCACCCACACACAGCCTAATAAAGCTTACTCAAGTCCAATCCAAAGCTGCCACGCGGGGTTTTCTCATAGGGTATTGAGGGATAGCGCGCCAATTCTCCCTAATAAGGAGTTGTTTACCAAGATCCACAACGGAGACCGGCGCCATCTTCTAATGGCGGCAACGGTCTACAGACACGGCTCACCACAGTTCCCCCTTATTTCTTAAAAAACGATGCAGGCAAAAGTAGAGGTCCTATCCCACTGTGCAAACATGGCTGCAATGTATGGCTCAGTCCCAAGGAGGCGCCTTCCTTAGATCTGACACCATATCAGCTGACGCCTTTTTTCGTGGGACGGGGCGTGGACGCCAAACCCGTATGCAATAGGACATGCTTCCCTTGAGGTCCGGAGACCGGATCACTCAAGTGCAGTGCCTTGCCTCGCATCCTGCATCGTGATGACAGCAAAAAGGAAGGGGATTTTACAAGTAGCCGGTCAGTGACTATGAGGTTGGAAGTGGCAACACCATCTCTCAGCCCCTGAGAAAACGAAGGGTCCAAAGCATAAAGTGCAGCACCAGCATGGAAGCCCACCTGCGTGCAATGGCAACAAGGCCTGCAGAGTGCATGGGCCTTCCATAACTGGGAAAGCAGGAAGAGGAGGGCATGCCAATCCCAGTGCAATGTCAAAGATAACTTGGGGTGCAATGGCCAAAACCCAGGAAATTATTGCTTAAGTTGCGCAAGCCAAACTTGTGGAGAGATACCATTCTCTAGGGCTGCAAAGGCCTGGACGATCATAGCCTTTTCTTGGCTATGGCGAGCTCTTAGGCGACAGAAAAGCCACAAAGGACAACCCCAAAACAACACATCGCTCCAAAAATGCCTACTCCCACCCATTCCTTAAAGAAAGAAAAAGCAGAAGACAGCCAATTTGTAAATTGGCCCAATGTCACAGGGTCCACACGAGTGTTGTTCAACATGGCAATTTGTGTCAGTTGGGTCTGGATCAACTTCTCTGCTTCCATGGACCAGTTTCCGGCCAGGTACTGTCCAATAATTTGAGAGGTATTCCTGGAATCATTAAATCTGAGAGATGTTATACATAGATGTGCACGATGATCAACACAACCCAAATGTACTAGGTCTGACAGTTCCTCAATCTGAGCTTGGAGGAGATCCACCCTTTGATTAACGGCCAAAATTCCTGATAAAATATGTTGATTGATTTTACTTTGAGACTCTAAAATG